TCTCACTGAATGCTTGCTGGTATTACATTATGAAAAGTTGTTGCCAATTTTGTAGGTGAAAATGGTTTATCATTTTAATTTGCATTGCTTGGTTTATTAGTGAAAGAAAACATAATTGACGTGCAAGCCAGACTTCAGCTTTCTTCTAATCCTCTGCCTTCATGGTCAGTCTCTGGTTTTGTCCAGCACCAGACTGGACTTGGGGACAGGCACATCTTTAAATTTCTACAAGTAATCCTCTGTCACAAATGCTTTGGTTAGCAACGTAGGCTTTACTGAAGATTTTGCAGGGGAGAGAAAGGAAGGGGTATACACTGCACACCTCACAGCATACATCCTAAAGATCTCCATTAGCCATTTCCCTTGTCCCTGGAATTCTCTTATCATCCATCCTCTCCCTCCTCTCTGATTCAGAGTCCTCCCAACACCTTCCCCTTCCTCCATCTTCCTCATTCATTCTCAAGAGCAGTCAAATAACTCTTCTCCTGGTCTCATACGAGCAACACCATCCTCTTTTCTGAAGCCTAGGTACCAACCAAATCAAACCCAGGAGGCTTAGCTTCTACCTGGGTGTTGGCTAGCAATGCATCTTCTCAGCAAAATTGCGTCTCTCATACATGGGTTTCTCATTCCAGCTGCTAAGTAATATTCTCCAAGACGTTACTGAAAAGTTACAGGCAAAGGACTGATTTATGGTCAGATTTGTGTCCTAGATAGATCCCTACGGCAGGTGTGGTGGATGGATTTGTGAGGGCAAGATTGGAGACAAGGGAAGATCACAGGTTCTTGCCCTGCCATAGGGTGGGAGTGCAGGCTGCTCCTCTCCAGGGCCCTTTCTGCACTGCCATTCAATTGCTCTGCTTCAGTCTACAGAGGCAAAGAAGAAGATCAGCCAGCCTCTTCCCCACCAGAAGGCCATTTTCTTCTCAGTGCTGCTCTCCTAGGCTCTCTGGGTCACTCTTAGAGCCTCCTTTGACTTAGGAGAGAAGCCTCTTACTTGTGAACCCTCTATTTCCCACCCCACAAGGCCCAAGAACCCATGACTCTCTCCCTTAGCAACCCCAAGTTCCTCTTATAAGAAAGACTTTAAACAGAGATAGGGTTGGAGTTGGAATGGAATTAGCTTTGTTCTGCTGTAAATACTGGGAGTAGGTGACAATGACTGGTGTCCACTTCACAATGTGGGGAACTTAAGTGACCCCTTCTCTTCAACTTTGGACTCAAGACACCAATTGTTGCTGGGGGCAACAGGAAATGTCCCATTCCAATCTTGTTATGCGTTTACTGACCTCCTCTGCAAACATCTGGCCTCCTGAGACCTGCTGCAGAGACTTCCTGGGAATTCTCCAATCTAAATTGTTACTGTTATTCATTGAGGTTTTGTCAGCAGGCCAGTCTGACTTATCAATTTACAGTCACCAAAGGCAACTTTTTTTTTTGAGTTCTAAAAATGCACCATAATTAACAAATTCATATGTTTGGATTTTTAAAATTCAAAATAATTCAGCTTAATAACTAAGCAGTTATTAAATTCACCTTCACTCCTAAGTTTCATGAGAGACAGAACGCTTTGTGAAGATGTTTACATTGTGCTACCCACATGTCCATCAACTGATGAATGGATAAATAAAATGTGATATGTCCATATAATGTAATATTATTCAGTCACAAACAGGAATAAAAAGTACTGATACATGCTACAACATGGGTGAACCTAGAAAACATGGTTTAGCAAAAAAAGACAGACACAAAAGGCCAGATTGTATGATTCCATGAATACAAAATGCCCAGAACAGGTAAATCCATAGGGACAGAAAGCAAATTAGTGGTTGCCAGGAGCTGGGGGAGCTGGGAATGGGAGTGACTGCTAACTGGTACAGGGATTTCCTTTCCACGTGATGAAAATGTTTTGGAACCAGAGAGAGGTGATGGTTGCACAACACTGTGAATGTCTAAAACGCCACTGAATTGTACACTTTAAAATGGTTCATTTTATGTTATGCGAACTTAAAAAAAAAACTGAATTGGTAGGTAAAATAATAAAACGCGTTGTGAACCTTTCTCACATTCATTTTACAAACCCGTAGGGAGTTACTTCGGCTCAGCACTCCGATAGGGGTCCCTGGGCGACGGTTTTGTAATCACGCTTGGGGGAGGACCTCTGGGCTGCCGGCGCTCCGCTCCTCCGCGGCGCGGCGGGGCGGGGCGGGACGCCGGGTCGGGAGCTGCGCGTCAGCGGCGGGCTTCGCGGGTTGCCCGGAGAACCCGAGACAACAAAAGGCGCGGGCGGCGGCGGCGGCGGCGCGAAGCTGAGGAGTACTGCGCTGCGCTCGCCGCCGGACTCCGGGGCTTTCTCGAGCCAGTCAGTGGATGGCCGGCGGGCCTGGCCGGGCTGGCGGGGCCGGGTGCGGGGCGGTGCTTTCCTGCCCTCCCGCCGGCTGCGCCCGCGCCCCCTTCCAGCCGTTGGGAGGAGGGCGCGTCGGCCGGGGAGTCGGGGGCCGCCGCGGCGTGGACTTGGGGGCACCTGGGGCGCCAGCGAGGCCGAGGAGGGCGTCCGAGGGGTTCTGGGGTGGGTGCTGGGACCCCGGGCGAGCGGCCGGCGGAAGTTGGTCTCCTTTGAGGTAGAAGGGCCGCAGGACTAGGGACGCGCGGGAACGCTGGGCCGGCGGCCACTGGGTCGGGTCCTGTGTATTTCTCGTGTTCGTGCTTCCATCTGCGGGGGCTGAACGGGGATGGGAAGGCCCACCCTCAGCGGGGGTTTCGTTTTGTGGCAGGCCTCCTTTTCCATTGCGGATGTTGAAACTTGGCTGCATTCTAAGCGCTGTAGGAGTCTGAAAGCCCCTCCCTCAGAGGCAGGTGATAATTGAGAAAGAAAGTGTGCCCAAATTCTTTCTTTGAAACACCTTTTAAATAACACTTCGCCCCTTCCGAGTTTTTAAATATTTGTTTACTTACCGTCTTTATTCTTTAATTCCTATCTTCTCTACTTCTTTATGCGTTTGGGGCCTTTACTGAGCTCCTTATGCAATCCACTATCCATTTGCTGGGAAATTTCTTACGAAAATATTAACAAACCACAATTTTTAGACAACCACTACTTTTGAAAAACCAAGGGCACAGGATGGCAACGGTATTTGGAGACGCTTCTTTCTGATCGGTGACATGGCATCACTGATGAAATATTTCTGTTGCCTTTGCTCATATTTCAAAACTCCGTTGAGTATACCTAAATATTACCAGCCAATTAGATTTCGCCTTTCTTTACATTTCTTGGTGACGTGATACACAGGCTTCTGATGACTGTAATTGATGAGAATCTGAAGTATAAGTGCTATGAATTTTTTTAAACTTAAATTCTTGTATATTAATGTTTTGCAAGCCATATATTTATGGGCCCTTATTGTTTATTGATTAAAATAGGTGAATTTCGATTGCCTTTGTAGCCAAATTGTTTATAGATATTCCTATTATAAAAAACAAGAAAGTGAAAATATCCCAGTTACATTTTTTTTTTTTATAAAAACGAGAAAGTGAAAATATCCCAGTTACATTTGGCACCTTTTATCAGGAGTTTCGTTGGAAGTAATTAGATTTAACATAGACCCTGACTTTTGTTTTAATGTGATGGCATAAGAAAAAGAAAGAAACTAGTCTGATAAAAACTTAATATGTAGGTATTCAGAGACATTTGGAAGAACCAGCTCTTACAGCATCTCTGTAGTTTCTTTGGAAAAGTTACCGGTGTGGTATGATTGTAGAGTGCTTTAGGATCCAAGAAAAGATTTGCCATACATATGAGTGTTTGTTTTTTCAGTGCAAATTTCACTACAGTGATTAAACTGCCAAGGTTGGGTGCATTTCTTTGTTTTGCCACTAAAAATAGTTTGTTGACTCTGTTTTGGGATTTTACAGCTCAAGGGAGCTGATATTTTTTTTTTACTCTCATGGGCTCTTTGTAGAGTGATATAAATGTTTTTTGTTATTGTGATCCTTTTCAGACTCTCCACTCACAAAATTATAAATGCAGAGTGCTGCTGCAGAGTTTTTTAAAGTCTAATGAATGTTAAATATGTCTTCATTAACATTTCCATAGCAGGTAGTGCTGAAAATGTTATTTTGGTCCATTGGTCTATAGATTACTTAATAATAGTGTTCAAGACTTGTCTTCTCCAAAGACCCAGCCCCACCCCAAACTGATTATTTTTCATCATCTGCACTTAAAAATTACTATAAATTACTTGTTACATTCGTTTTTAGCTTTTATATGATGTAAGCTTTATCCTACGAACATTCGTGTACAAATTTTTACGCGAACATGTGTTTTCATTTCTCTTGGGTATATACCTGAGTGGAGTTGTTGGGTCAGATGATAACTCTCTGTTTAATTTCTTGAGAAACTGCCAGACTGTTTTCCAAAGTGGTTGCATCATTTTACATTCCCATCAGGAGTGTATGAAGGTTCTGTATTCTCTACATTCTTGCCAACACTAACTATGATCTGTCTTTTTGATTATAGCTGTGTTAGTGGGAGTGAAGTGGTATCTCGTGGTTTTATTGCATTTCCCTGATGGCTAATGATGTTAAGCATCTTTGCATGTGCTTATTGGCCATTTTTATATCTTCTTTGAAGAACTGTCTTTTCAGATGCTTTGCTCATTTTTAAATTGGGTTGTCTTTGTACTACTGAGTTGTAATAGTTCTTTATATATTCTAAGTACAAATCCTTTTTTCTTTTTTTTTGAAGTGTTTTTTTGTTTTTCCTGAGGAAGATTCCCCCTGAGCTAACATCTGTGCCAATCTTTCTCTATTTTGTATGTGGATCGCCACCACAGCATGGCCGCTGACGAGTGGTCTAGGTCCACGCCTGAGAACCGAACCTGGGCTGCCGAAGCAGAGCATGCGGAACTTAACCACTAGGCTACGGGGCCAGCCCCCCCTTCTTAATTTGCTAACTCCCCAATTATTCAATATTTAGATGAATAAGCTGGGGAAAGTATTACCACTATAGAATGAATGCCACAATGGAATCTCATGTACTTATCACTTATCTTCATCATTTGCCAGCTCATGGCCCCCGCCTCCTAGATTATTTTGCAGCAAATCCAGACATCATATCATTTCATCTATAAATTATAAGTGTACTTTTACAAGGTGGATTTACTCTTTGTAGCTATCTTATGTTGGAACAAAACCTGCTCTAATTGACTTTGCTTTAGAAGGTGGTTAGATTATTAGGATAGAGGAGTCAGTAATTAAATTTTGTTTTTGTTTGTTACACAGGAGTCCAGGTCTTACGTAAAATGGATGTTTCTCACACTAAATACTGAATGTTAAGTAGAAAATCTATTTAGTAAAATCTAAGCTGCCATGGAAGAAATACCAGTAAAAGTTGCTGTAAGAATTAGACCTCTGCTGTACAAAGAAGTTCTGCATAATCATCAAGCTTGTGTGAGAGTTATTCCAAACACTCAGCAGATTATCATTGGGAGAGATAGAGTCTTTACTTTTGATTTTGTTTTTGGCAAAAATTCCACTCAAGATGAAGTTTATAATACGTGTATAAAGCCACTGGTGTTGTCACTCATTGAGGGCTATAATGCAACCGTTTTTGCCTATGGACAAACTGGATCTGGGAAGACGTACACCATTGGAGGAGGCCATGTTGGTAAGATTCTCATACTCTTTGACTTATTTGAGACACTAGAAAGAAGCTAAAATGTGACAGTACCTGACACACAGGTGCTAAGCAAAGTGATTGAATGAAGTAATGAATAAGATAATCAGATGTATTCCTAAGATCATCATCTTTGAAAGATTTGTTTTTAAATATTGAAGTTTTATTAAACAGTTTAATTTATGATTATGTTTGCTTGAGGAAAGAAGTTTGAGTGTTTAGTGTTCAGCCCTTTGCCTCGTTTTCAGTTTTATTGAGATATAATTGACTAATAACGTTGTATTAGTCCAAGTTGTACAACATAATGATTTGATATATGTATGTATTGCAAAATGATCACCCCGGTAAGTTTAATTAACATCCATCACCTCACATAGTTACAAAATTTTTTTTTCTTGTGATGAGAACTTTTAAGATCTATTCTCTTATAGCAACTTTCAAGTATATAATACAACATTGTTAACTACAGTCACCATGCTGTACATCACATCCCCACAACTTATTTATCTGATAACTGGAAGTTTTCATCTTTTGACCACCTTCACCCACTTCCCCCACCCACGCCTCTGGCAATGCTTTGTCATTTTGAACAGAATTTAAAATAGAGAGAAATGAGTTAACATGATCAGATTTTGCATCTTTTAATAGTCCACTTGTAAATATTAAGAGTCCCACAACCAGGACTTAGAGGCAGGGGGAGAAATTTATTATGTAGTTTAAAGTGTCTTTTTAAAAAATTTCTAGCCGGATTTCTATTTTTTGTTTTAGCTTTATTGAGGCATAATTGACAAATACAGTTGTAAGATATTTAAAGTGTACATCGTGATGATTTGATAAGTGTATCCATTGTGAAAGAATTCCTCTCATCTAGTTAACACATCCATCACTTCACATATATTTACAGATTTCTATTTAAAATACTGAATATTTTAGGATATAATTTCTTCTGCTTGTAATTCTAGTTTGGAAAAGGTAGAATCAGAAGATTTCTTTTTTTTTTTTTTAATTTTTTGTTTATTGCAGTAACATTGGTTTATGACATTGTAAAAATTTCAGGTGTACATCATTGTACTTCTATTTCTGCATAGATTACATCATGTTCACCACCAAAATACTAATTACAACCCATCACCACACACATGTACCGAATTATCCCTTTCACCCTCCTCCCTCCCCCCTTCCCCTCTGGTAACCACCAATCCAATCTCTGTCCCTATGTGTTTGTTTATTGTTGTTATTATCTACTACTTAATGAAGGAAATCATACAGTATTTGACCTTCTCCCTCTGACTTATTTCACTTTGCATTATACCCTCAATGTCCATCCATGTTGTCACAAATGGCTGGATTTCATCGTTTCTTATGGCTGAGTAGTATTCCATTGTGTATATATACCACATCTTCTTTATCCATTTGTCCCTTGATGAGCACTTAGGTTGCTTCCAAGTCTTGGCTATTGTGAATAACGCTGCAATGAACACAGGGGTGCATGTACCTTTACAAATTGGTGTTTTCAGAAGATTTCTTTTAGAGCCGGAAGGAACCTTGAAAATCATTTCTCTTCATCCTTAAGTGAGGAGCTCCAGCTGTAGAGTGATGAAGGGCTTGTTCAGTTAGGTGGCTAGTGACAGAGCTGCCACTGAAAGCCAAGTCCTCTGTTGAGCTTGTTTACTGTATTGGTATTTTTCTGCTAAAAGCAAACTTTTGAATGTTGTGTATATGTATCATTGTCTAAAATGATCATTAGTATTCTCTATAATGACTCAGTATGTTTTCTACTTGCACACTTCTCAAATATAGAATCTATGACTTTCAGAAACATCTCTCATTATATGCAGGGATTGGGGGCAGGGAGGGTTGGAGGGTGCCTCTGTGGTTTGAGGAAGACCTCGTTCCAAAGATTACAGGGAAGGGCCGTAAGTGCCCAATATCTCCCATTCCCCATTTTTTAGAATCACTATTATACACTATTAGGAGATTAAAGATACTAGATTATTTTAGGGTCTCACAATTTAAAAAAATTCAATTTTTGACTATAAGTTGTGGTTTTTCTTGAGGATTGTAGCGCTTTTTTTGTTTTTGATTGGCAAATGTTTTATAATCTTTTAAGACTCACTATGTGCTTTGTACTAATAGGAGTTATAAATGTTCAGAGCTTGGTAACTTAATTATAGCTCTATTGTTTTTTATTAAGAGGCCATGAATACAGTTTTAATTCTTTAAAGGAAAACATTATTAAAGTTATCTATTGTCCTAAAATATTTTAACTGCTCTAAAATACTTAGTACCAGAAGTAATAGACCACCACTAGGAACAGTTTTTGATATTTTTTCCCCTAGTTTTTTTAAAAAATTAATGTTCATTGTAAAAAGAATTGCAAGTGATGCTTAAGAAATTAAATTAAATTAAAGCTCCTCTCATCCTCACGGAATAACGGTTTGATGTATACTATTCTAGAGTCCTCTAGACATTTTTCTAGGCATATTACAAATACACATGTAGTTTTTGTTTGTTTAATGAGATATTATACTTGTGGTTCTGTAACTTTCTTTTTGCACTTAACAATATAAAATGTCATTTCATTTCTTCCCATTTGGGTCATAGAATTTCACCTCATATTTTTTGGCTCTGTAATATTCCATAGTTTGAATGGATCATAGTTCATCCATTCCAGTATTAATGGATGTTTAGGTTGTTTCTGATTTTTACTATTATAAAAAAGTTGCAGTGTATATCTTTGTACATTTAACTTTGCACCCATGTGTTAGTATTTCTGTAGAATAGATTCCTAGAAGTGGATTTGTTGAGTCAAAGGGTATGCACGTTTAAAATGTGGATAGATACTGACAAGTTACCCTCCAAAAAGGCTGTACCAGTTTATCTTTCCATCACCAATATATGAAAGCCATTTGCTCATATCCTTGCCACTTACTGGATATTATAAATCCCAAATATATATTTTTTGCCATCTTATAGGTGAAAAATTGTACTCTGTTGTTTGAAGTTACATTTCTTGGTGTGTTAGTGAAATTAGTGAGCATTTTCAGTTTCTCATGCTATCTCTGTAGGACACCAATTCTGGGTTAGTCATCTGCTGTTTGATTATTGACTATGCAAATAATGTTGTTTTTTCCCCCATTAAAATTTTATTGAGCATTTGTAGTGTCTAGGCTACCATGCTAGGCACTATGGCAGAGTGAAAATCTCTTATTTTCTATATTATGCTTATTTGTACTAATATTCATTTTCCCTGCTTTTCAGAACCTTGGATTTACTGACTTAATCAGGCTTAATCTTTGAAAACTTTTATTTGTGTACTCTTTAAATAGTGTATAATAGCTAAATGATACAGTTTTCTCTCTGAAGTAGTCTAGTTCAGGAGTATAAGCGTAATATTGAAAATGTGATATTTAGGTTACTGAGATTTGAAGCTTTATTATAAATATTATTTGAAATTCAACTTTTTGATGTCTTTTGAATTATTGTGCTTTGTTATCTGTTGAAGTGGGAAATGAATGAGCTATTTCTTTTTTTTTTTTTAAAGATTTTATTTATTTTATTTTTTCCCCCCAAAGCCCCAGTGGATAGTTGTATGTCGTAGCTGCACATCCTTCTAGTTGCTGTATGTGGGACTCGGCCTCAGGATGAACGGAGAAGTGGTGCCTCGATGCGCACCCGGGATCCGAACCCAGGCCACCAGCATCGCAGCGCGCGCACTTAACCACCAAGCCACAGGGCCGGCCCGAATGAGCTATTTCTGATCAGCCTTATATTCTGGCTAATCTAGAATGCATATGTATACTGTATATTTATAGATAGTACTATTGGCTACTGCCTGGAAGCTCTCAGAAGGGAGTCTTCACTTTTTCCCTTGTATTTGAAAAACCTACAGCTTCCTTTTACTTGCCACATGATGGCAGTCTTACATCTTAAATTAGGTGAAAGGCAGCCCAAGTTAATAGAAGTTCAGATTTTCAGGATGTTTGTTGCCAAAATCTGAACATTGGGAATCTTCAACTTGGAAGCAAGTTTGGTTTTTTTTTGTTTTTTTTCCTGAGGAAGATTCGCCCTGAGCTAACATCTGTTGCCAGTCTTCCTCTATATTGTATGTGGGTCACTGCCACAGCATGGCCACTGATGAGTGGTATAGGTCTGTGCCCAGGAACCGAACCCGGGCTGCCGAAACAGAGCGCACTGAACTTAACCACTAGGCCACTGGGCTGGCCCCAGAAGCAAGTTGTTTTTAAGGTTCATTTGTAAGCCAACTTTTTGTGGCTTGGAATATATTTTCCATGGAACAATACTAAAAATGATAAGCAGGTTTCTTTTTTTTTCTTAATTTTTTTTTTAAATTAATTTATTTTTTCCCCCAAAGCCCCAGTAGATAGTTGTATGTCATAGTTGCACATCCTTATAGTTGCTGTATGTGGGACGCGGCCTCAGCATGGCCGGAGAAGCGGTGCATCGGTGCGCGCCCGGGATCCGAACCCGGGCCGCCAGCAGCGGAGTGCGCGCACTTAACCGCTAAGCCACGGGGCTGGCCTGATAAGCAGGTTTCTAAATTGACCTACAGAAAATTTTTTAACCTTAAGTCCCCATTTATTCTTTCACTTATTTTAAATTTTATCTTGTACATTTTTTTTTACTGTTTTTAAATTGTGGGTAAATAAATAAGTAAAAAAATAAAATTTGCCATTTTAACCATTTTTCTTTTTTTTGTGTGTGTGTGTAAAGGAGATCAGCCCTGAGCTAACATCCATGCTAATCCTCCTCTTTTTGCTGAGGAAGACCGGCTCTGAGCTAACATCTATTGCCAATCCTCCTCCTTTTTT